AAGTTCCATGAGAGAACGAAAAGAAAGAGGGAGAAAGAGAAAGGTATTATACACTACTCGCTTGTGTATGCGACTGTCGCGCCTGCGCACGTCTCATTTAACGTTTTTATTCCACGCACTTTTTTCCACGGATTTTTTCTCACGGTTTTACTATCACATTTTTTTCAGTTCGGTCGCGCAGCAAAATCCCTATCCCCTCCAAGCCTGCCGTAAGGAACTTCGTTCCAAAAAAATTAATTTATGCATAGTACCATCTGTTTGCATTACATAAGTACTTATATGTACATGTATATAATTATACGTTTGACTGAAGAAATGAAATAAATAAATTTTCGACCAATAGGCGCCCAGGCTAACCGGTATACATAAGCGATTCTTAGTTTGCCAATAAAAGTTGGAAGAATAAAGTCCTATATACGGGGAATCGTACTTTTGAAAGCAAACGGACAGTGTGTTTGGAGAGGTCGTGGGAGTTCATCCGCAAAGATCAAGTCGCACAAACCAGAGGGCCTATTCTGTACTTTTGGAAACGAAATTTTGCATACATTTGTAAACGACTATATAAATTCTAATTTCTAAATAATTTATACTAAAAAGTCAATAAATTATTTCACAAGAATAAGGTGGAACTCAAGTTCATAATATTTCGCTGTCCGCGCCCTTCATGATGATGTTTTTAGTTTTAGATAGATCTATCGATCTATTGAATCGAAAGATCTATTGAACTTTAAACGCCATGTATGGATTTTTATCGTTTAAATATATAGTTTCATAATTTTTTTCGAGGTAGGCCATAGCATATTGGTCCCTATTGATCTCCCACGCATATCTGTGTTGGAAAAACCAACACCATTTAAAGCTTCGCTACATATCATTGCCCCACTAATCTTTCACGAAAGGCACTAATCTGTAATCTCTTTTGGAAACGCTGCCTAAATTCGAATCACTCTACACTTTCCCAGAGGGAATCCAATTCAAGGGGATAATTCACTTTGCACTACCTTCTCACCTCTTTAATATGTACATACAATACTCTGCATTTGATACTGCCCTAGTGTTGCCGGTCATAATAATGAATGAGGATTCGATAATAATGACTAGAAAAATGTGCCGGCAGAAGTGAAAACATGAATATTAACGTTCAGCATTTTTGATATTTTGGAATGGTTAGGGAATATTTTTTGCACGAATTGCTTTAATTATCAGTATGAAAGTACTATCATGTATGTGGTAGAATACAATATTTATTTATTGCGCTATCGTACACAAACATGACAATTTATATTACAATAAAAAAGTTTATCTCTCAGAAAAATCAACTTACATGAATCACGTTTAAGCGTACTTAGCGACATCTATTGTAAAGAAATCAACTCACATGAATCACATTTAAGCGCACCTAGCGACATCTATTGTAAAAAAATGCATTTTCTTCTTAATAGAGCTGCCACGTGGCCGTCCTAGATAGAGACTTATTATTATAATAGGATAAAATAAAATATTACTATGTTTCGTCCAATATATTGAAAGTCAATAACCTTTCCAATTTTATTGTGTGTCATGATGCGATCAGCCCACGTGTTTAACCTGACGCGAGTTTAACATTTTTTACCCATACAAATTAAAAGTGTACAACGCCGGTAAAGAAGTTTTCACTTCAAAAAGGGAAAATTTTCATTAGACCTTTGTTTTTCTACTGTTCTCTCATCATCTTCACTTTTATCTTTTCTCTTCTCCACTGTTTGTCCATTCGGGTTTATAAATTACTATCTAAAGCAAAATGGGAACACATATTTTCCCTATCAGGTATTTTTATGTAAATTAGCAATAGCTTATGCTGTGTTAAAGTTTATTTCGGGTTATCGTTTTCAGTAAATTTACACGAGAAAATATCCTATCTACATTTGCTGAGGAATGTTTAAAGAATATTAATATATGTTGTTATAATCAATCCAGCCTTTAAGATTTATCGGTTGATTATGCCGAGATTAAAAGACGCATCAGTAGATTGTTAAAAAATCGGTAAACATACCGATTTTTCGGTAGCATTGGCAACGCTGCACTGCCCCCGATCTAGAAGTCAAGAAAACAGTATCGAAAACTTTCAACAAAAGCCTACCTATCAGCGTCGATTCTGGCATGTTTCTCTTAATTAATAATAATAATAATAAATATTTCCAACACTCACACCAATTAGCCTAGCCCCAAAGTAAGCACTGTAAGGTTTGTGTTATGGGATACTAGGGTAACGGATAGAATACATATACTGTACATATATAAGTATATTTATATAGAAATACATATTATATATCCATGATTGGAGTACAAATGCTCGTATTCATCACACTAACATCTGCCCCCACCGGGATTCGAACCATGAAACCCGGCGTACAAACCACTCGACCACGGAGGTCGACCAAGGATATAATGGTGTTGATTCTAGCATGATTCTCTAAAGCTAAACTTAATTTTGACAACAGTGTATCCTTGTCATTCTCTATATAGAATGAAAAGGAGAGACTGATGTTTAATTTAGTTTTAAGTTTAGAGAATCGTGTCAGAATCGACATCATTGTTGTCAAATTTAATCTAGGCTTAGAGATTAGTATGCCAGAATCGAGAACAGTGAAATTATCCGAATTTTCAGTTACTGCATTTCGGAGTAGCCTCCCCGCCCCGTTTAACTATTCAGCTGGCTCACCGCGCTTATACACATGAGCGCACAAATCTGTCCGCTGTGTTACCGCGCGTGCATATACCACTTTATTTCTTCCTTACACATCCACCAAGGAAAATGGAAAATGTTTTAGGTACGCCCGCTGAATACATCGAATTGGAACTTTCCATCGTTCGCTGTAGTGGAAAACGTTTATCTATATATCTGTCTGTCTGTTTCTCCTTCGTCGCATATGCACTTTTATATTGAAAATGCAACAGCTTGCATATATCGCTTTGTCTTGTATTGATTATATTCGTCCTGTCGTTCGAGGCATGTATGTATTGTTCACACGGTTACTTCATACACAAGATCACAGTGAAATAACTTCTACCCTTTGGTGGTGTTGTTCTAGTTCTAGGGTCTAGGCGATCACCTTTATTTGACACTAACTAAATCTTATCATCATACATTTTTTAAGGCTAAACAGTAGGACACGGCATTCCTAAACATTCCAAAACTTAAACTTTGTTAAATAAGATTTTTTTTCATTATTTTATTTTATTGTCACAATTTTTATATCATTTACATTTGTAATGGAAAGTGACTTCATAAGTTATCCCATATTGAAGTCATTTTTCAATTTGACGACTCTGTATATAATTCAGGGAGAAAAAACAGCTGTCGAATTTCTTGCCGATTCTTCTCAGTACAATGTCTCCCGCCGTAGATTTACGAACCGACATTCATAAGTGCTTGTAACAGCCTAGACTGAATAAACGATATTGAATTTGAATTTATTCTAAGATGGCCTTTGGTATGTTTTTTTGCTTACTTTGTTTTGCAAAAAAATTATTATTATCAGCCGATGCCGGCTGCCTTTAATAAAATAATAACTCACTTAATAATCTATCAATCCTGCTGCGGCTGCCAGAATAGCAGCGCTGCTGTGGCACGTTTTGTGGCGTGTTGCGGCAGCATTATGCTGAGGCAAGGCCCTGATTGACCACAAACCACAAAATGGAGTTAATCCTTTTTTTTACCTATAAATATTGTCAAAAGTTATTGTTTTGTATGTTCATTTGCAATGTAGTAATATGGTCAATAAAATGTCTCTCTCTTAATCCCTTTTATATTCAGTGGCTCCGTATAACTCGCTCGGTGACATCCTGTCTCTTTTCCACGTAAATTCTAAAATAAATAATATATCTTAAGGTATAAAACGCGCACTTATCTTCATCATCATCAGCCTATTATTGTTCCTCTGCTGGGGCACAGGCCTTCCCTATGGATGGAATAGGGAGATTGGGTCATGACCCACCACGCGGGCCCAGTGCGGATTGGTGGGTGCTAACGACTGTGATATTAAATTTTTGGTCACCCATTCAATGACCGACCACTGCGAAAGTTGCTTGACTTCAACGATCGCAGTCGAACGCGCTAACCACTTGCTAACCATCGAGCTCCTCATATCACACTAATATTATAAAGGCGAATGTTTGTGAGTGTGTGGAGCGATTTTAATAAAATTTGGTATAGAGTTAGCTGACACCCTGGATTAACACATAGGCTATGTTTTACTGCAGGAAAATAAACCCTAATAAACCGCGGGGAACACCGCGGGGCACAGCTAGTATTATATATAATGCAACGCGAAAGTTTAAAATACGAGATATTGGTATAAATTTGACGAGAAATTGTATTTACTCATTTTTTAGGGTTCCGTCCGTACCCAAAGAGTAAAACGGAACCCTATTGCTGTCACTCTCGCCTGTCTGTCGGTATGTCACAGGTCTCTAGAACGTAAAAGAAATGAGTTACAGAACTTATAGTGAGGGTATTTTATGTAAAATAATCATAATCTTTATTGCTTCATGGTACAAAACAAAAAAAAAAACACACAAAAGTTGTCGTCCATATTTTATCAAATACAAAATTATGACATTGGTATCGATTTAAATATATGACCTATGTATATAAGTTTTTAATAATATTCCTCTCCCTCCTTGGATGTCCTGCTGGGCAGACGTGTTTCGAAGTAACAAGTGTATAAATATATATTTTTGAAATAATTAAAAATTAAATATGAATTAAATTGCTGTGCGTTACCAGGATCGCAACAATTGTCGATAGTGAAAGCCGTTGGACAAGGACATACCTACATCAGAGTGAGTGTGACAATTTACTGTTGCTCATTTCATCCTTGCACTTAAAGTTTAACGCCTTCAAGGCCACCTGCTGCGATTCGCTACGCGAAGTCCCGCCCATTAGCGCAGGAGCAAGTTTTTGAGAGGCGGAGCTCACCCGTCCTTGAGACGTGCTGTTTGCAACGCACGCACACGAACAAGATCGCTTCTGCCGACGGAATATTTAGGCCTACTTTTTGAAGCGTCAATTGGTTTTATTAAGAATGATTCGATCACCTGCGAATAAACAAGATATTACCTATGGATCCGCTCCTGACCTGAGTGAAGTCAAGGAGGACGATAGTCCGGATAACATAAACAATATTTTTCGGTCAAATAAAAGACGTCGTTGCGAATGCAGTGGCTCAGAAGAATCAACACTGGACTCTTTTATAAAGTCCCTTACGATATGGAAAAAAGATACGGATACAATGCTTTCTAATATTCAGGAGTCTATGAATGTCATTAAAAAACAAAATGATGAATTATTAACTTCTAACTCAGAGATCGAAAAATCAATCGAATTTTTATCAATAAAATACGACGAGATTCACAACCAACTAATGTGTTTCCAAACAAAAACCAAAGAGAACGAGGAACGTTTTTTGCGTATGGAAGAAAAGACGGAAGAACTTGAGAGGAACTCCCGCTCCAGCACTTTGGAGATACGTAATATACCTATACCAAAGAATCCGTCTCAAGCTGACCTCGTGCAGATAGTGACACCTATCTTTAAAACAATTTGTGTGGAGGTTACACACTCGGACATATTTGATATACGTCACTTTTCTTCAAAATCAGAAAATAAAACCGTTTTAGTGACATTGAATTCTGTAATACTGAAAAACAGTATTATTAGGTCTTACAGGGAATACAATAAAACTAACCCCACTAACAGACTAAATACCTCAGTCATTGGATCGGAAGTACCTCACCAACAGATTTTCATAGCTGAAAATTTAACCCCTCGTGCACGACGTTTGTTTCACCGGGCTCGTGAATTTGCGAAACAAGAAAACTATAAATATTGCTGGACCGCACACGGGAAAATTCTTTTACGTAAGCAGGATAATGATAGATTCATTGTTTTATCGTCAGAATCTCAGTTTAATGAGCTCCAGTCAAAAAACTAATTTATACATTAGTTATAAGTTATGTCACTTTAAACTTATTTTATTTTTTATTTCACCTTTATAACATTGTATCTACAATAGCGCAGATTTATATTATATTAATTTCGTACTTCGATAATATTTTTAATAAGTTTATGTTTGTTTCATCGCTTCAGAATTTGCCACAAGTATACAAACATTGCACATCCATAAGGTACAAATATTTTGTCTATTTTATACATTCATATTCGATAACTGTAACTCAACTCATTAGGTACATACTGATGTATCTTCATATAAACTATTCTGTTACGCTTAAATATTTTTATATTTACGTTTTTTCAATACTGATGCACTCGCCTTGCGTAATTGACTCAACGTATAATTTTGCTGTACCCATGACATCATTATATAAAATTCACTAGTGATCCCGACCTATTAAATAATATTGACGATGTCACAGTCTGTAAATCACTAACATGTACACCGGGCGAAGTTCAAACGTTATTGACACACCAAAATAGAACATTATGCTTACTTACCCAGAATATACGCAGCATCTCCGCCAATATGTGTACTTTTAATGTACTTTTGAATAGTCTTAACACTAACCTAGATGTTATTATACTTACAGAATGTTGGCTCAAGTCCGATCCCCTTATTCCAACATTAAAAAACTTTTCTTATTACTCATCTTCTAATCCTGTAAATCAAAATGATGGAGTAGTAGTTTATTGCAATACTTCACTCCCGGAGGTAACTGTTTCGGAACCGGGTATCGTAGAAGCAAGTTCCTTGCTTATTGAGATAGGTAGAGAAGTAGCGATCCTTGCCATCTATCGTCCCTGTGCTTTCAAAAGTGCACATAACTTCATACTATCACTCCATTCTATACTAGATAGAATTAAAAACTCTAAAACTATAGTTATAATGGGTGATATTAATATTGACATATCCCCAAATGTTAATCATTCTGATACAGAAGAATACTTAAATACTCTTGCTCATCATGGCCTCCTTCCGGCTCACACCTTACCCACTCGTAACTTAACGTGCATTGATCACGCAATTTTAAAATCACCGTCCTCTGCCACTTCACTTGTGATTCATTCAAGTGTAACAGATCATGAACCGGTACTTCTTGCGCTCTGCAACACCAAAACGGTCGCACCCCCCAAACTTATTAAAAAAATCAACTACATCAATATAGCTGCAATAATTAATGAAATAGATTTCTCTCCAGTGTTAAATTCCACAGATCCTAATTATGCCACTGACCTCTTTATTAAAAAACTACAGTCAGTTATTGATCTACATACCACAAACTTGCCTGTACCTAGACGGCAACGAATAATAAAACCATGGATAACGCCAGGGCTTTTAAGATGTATAAATAATAGAGACAGTATGCATAAAAAACTAAAATTAAATCCTGACAACAATGTACTCAAAACAACCTTTACAAGATACCGCAACTTTTGCAATTCTCTTCTAAAACGGTTAAAAAGGGCATACGATACTGAGCTCATTAAAAAGGCAGGCTCAAACAGTAAACACCTCTGGAAGGCTATTAAAGAAGTGACGAATTTAAATAAATCCCGCACTTCCGGTGACCCATTACTTTACACAATGCCCTCGAAAGAAGAATCGTTAGATCGAGTGAATGAGTTTTTCGTGAATGTTGGAAAATCATTAGCAGAGGATATTCTCACTCAAAACCCAATAAACGCCTCATTACATTCAGTTCCCTCCTCTGCTCTGACTCCATCTCGCAATGCTGAATCCTTTGTTTTGCTCGAAACGTCTCAGCAGGAGGTTGAGCTTATTATTTCTTCTCTGAAACAAGACTGTGCGGTGGGTTGGGATAACATCTCTAATTCATTTCTAAAGCGTTTTAAAAATGTTCTTGCTCCTAGTATAGCTCACATTTGTAATATATCTATTACTGAGGGCATTTTTCCGTCAGCTTTCAAAAAAGCACTAGTACACCCTATCTACAAATCTGGAGATCAAGACTGTGCAAACAGCTATAGGCCTATCTCAATTTTACCAGCACTGTCTAAGGTATTGGAAAAGATCGTTAATAAACAATTTATTAACTTTCTTGAAACAAAGTCATTATTATCCCGTGCACAGTATGGTTTTAGACAGGGTAAATCAACCGCTGATGCCGTACATGATCTCACAAACTATATTTCCACCAACTTAGATAAGGGACAAAAATGCTTGGCCATCTTTTTAGATCTTGCAAAGGCCTTTGATACGGTTTCCGTGCCAATCTTGCTTACAAAGCTTGAAGCCTTGGGAGTTCGAGGTAATCAGCTCTCGTTATTTCATAGTTATCTTTCCAATCGCACGCAGAGAGTATGTATTGCAAATGGGATTACCAGTTCAGAGCTCCCTATTGAGTATGGTGTTCCACAAGGAAGCATACTAGGCCCTACGCTGTTCCTAACATTCATCAACGACCTCTGCTCTCTCAAAATCCCAAGCTGTAAAATAATTGCCTATGCTGACGACACAGCCTTATTGTTTACTGCAAGCTCATGGAGGGAAGCCTTTTGTGTAGCTCAAAGGGGATTTGATACAGTAACAGCATGGTTACGAACCCACCTCTTAAACTTGAATGTCCAAAAGACAAAATATCTCACTTTCTCCATTAGAAGGATTCCTCCCACTTTTCTAAACAATCTTAACATCGTTGCTCATTCTAAATCCCACTGTCTTCAATCCCAATCCCCATGTAGTTGCGCTCCTCTTTCCATGTCTAGCTCCATCCATTATCTAGGAGTTCTTATAGATAATCGTTTAACTTTCCAATCTCACCTTTCACTCACAGCATGCAGAATACGTAAACTCATCTTTATCTTTAAAAAATTGCGTCACGTAGCTCCTTCCGGTATAGTTAAATCTGTATATATAGCACTCTGCCAGTCACTTTTGATATACTGCATTACTTCCTGGGGAGGCGCCTGCAAAACTCATATTCTGATCCTCGAAAGAGCACAAAGAGCTCTGTTGAAAGTGTGCACCTTCAAACCTATACTTTTCCCCACTGATGAGTTGTACCAATTTTGTGATGTACTAACAGTCCGCCAACTCTTCATTCTGTATACCATCCTGAAACAACATGGCCTAACTGAACCTGCTCTAAATCGACGTAATCACTTAGTTGCTATTTCCTCTTGCTTCAAAACCTGTTTTAGTAGGCGATTCTTCTGTTCCCTAGGTCCTTTTCTATACAATCGCCTGCAACTAAAACTTAATATTTTGGGACTAACTAAATACTCTTGCAAACTTACTGTCTCTAATTATCTAAAATCATTAAACTACGATCAAACCGAAAACCTCCTGCTTCGTTTGGGATGATAATTGGCGTAAAGTGAAAACTTGGCTTTTCCTGATTATTATAGTTACTTTGTGTCCGAGTGTGTATGTATTTTGGAAGTATGTATCTATATTCATGTATACAGTTGCTAATAATTTGTATGTGTCTGAGTGTATGTGTGTTTCGATGTATGTATCTATATCCATAAATGCTGTGTATCCATAACCATGATTGTGTACCTTATACTATGGCAAATTCACCTTCTCAATTTATTTTTTGTATTTTTCGTATACAATAAGTAGATTTTTTACTTTATGTTAACGTCCTAAGCTGTATAGACATATTTGTAATAGATTGCTGTAACCTAACCCATCCCAAGGAGGGGGGACCGGTGCTCTGAAATACAAGCTCGGCTTAGTTCAGACACCGATCTCTCATGACATCAGGTATGCAATGGTACCCATACTACGATTGTTAAATGTCTATCCATCCATATGCCTATAAAAATGTAATTAGTTATTTAAAAAAAATGTTGTCGATGCCAAAATGTTGTGACGAGAAATAAACGATTATTATTATTATTAATATTAATTCTAATAAAAAAGATTACACTTTCCACCATCCAAAACAAAACTCCTTAACTGCAGTCCATAGTATATGGCTATTAAGTTATATAATAAATTACCCCTAATTATATTAAATACGAAGAAACACATACAATGTTCAGAAAAAAATTAAAAGATTTCTTAATTAATAACTGCTTTTATAATATTGATGAATATCTTAATAATGAAATTAAATAATTGACAGTATATTATTGAAAATATATTGAAAATAATAATATAACAATAATAAAAAATTAACAGTATTTCAATCGTTACAACATATAATAAATTAATTAATTATCAATTTCTAATAGAACACCAAATATATATAAAAAATGCATATTCATTTTGTATTAATGTTAACAAATAATTTAATGTTGATTTTTACTTAATGTTATGTATATTTAATCAGGTCAAATAATGAAATGATATATAAACATAATTATCACTTGTATTACATAAATGAAGCATGCTGCGAAAGGATAAAAAATAGGTAAAATGTTTCACAAATGTAGGCGACGTACGTAATTGTAAATGTTTGTTACAAAATTAAGAAATTTTTTGCAATGCTCTTGCAGGGCTCATGTTGTGAATCCTTATTTTAAATTTAAAAACCCTGCAAATAAAACTGGTAACGAATTTTTTTTATCAAATATTTTTGGAAGATCTTTCACATTTATCAAAAAGAAAATACAGCCCAGCACGTTTCTTTGAGGGATGGAACAGGTCATGTCTTTCTCCTCTGAAGTCACTTTTTCTATTTCATTTGTTTTGTTGTTTAGATATTCAATTTGAACTTTTGGATTCTATTTTTCAGGTATGATTTGAACCAATTATAAGCTGTACCTCGTACCCCTGACCTATATAATTTGGATAATAAGATTTCATGTGATACTCTGTCATACGCCTTGGACAGGTCCAGTAATACTCCCAGAGCATACTTTTTATCATTCATATGTTGAAGAGCACCTTGAATATATTTAAAAACAGCAAGAGTTATTGATCGCTTCTTTCTAAACCCATTCTGACAATCATCTAAAACATTATCTTTCTCTAAAAATGTGTACTATTACACATAGCTTTTTCAATTTGGAAATGTTGCTAATAATGATATTGGTCTAAA